AGTCCAGTGAAGTTAATGTTTTATAATAAAGCAAAAAAGGACATTCTCTGGCATGATGAGCTCAATAAACTGCAACAAACTTTCCCTACTAGGTGAGTGCTGCTATTGATACTAGACAGAAAGATCTAGCCTGTTAAGTCTTAGTCACATCCTTCTGGACTGATTTTTGTGTTTTTTTGTAGTCAGCTGTTTCACTACATTGTCAAAAGAAAGAAAAATATTTTTCATTGAATTCCTGAAACTATTATACTAGTGTTTCCCAAACTGAGGCCTGAATAGGTGTTCCAAGAACTGCTGGAATAATTAACTAGTAGGCTACCACCTGAATTAATATCTCTAAAAAGTTAGAAAAGTGTTCCACTAAATACTCAGGATGTGCCAAGTGTTCCATTAAGGAAAAAGTTTGAGAAACACTGTAATATACTGTTACGAATCTCACTATCCAGGCTCTCTGCAAACTGCACCATACACCACCAACTTAAAGAACTTGACAACTCAGGGCTCCAAAGTAACGTAACACTTTAATAGTTGAATAAATAACAGCCAATACTGTACAATTGGCAGCACGTAACACAAGACTGTACAAATATCTCTCCGATAACACTGTACCGCCGTATCAACTCTTGCACTGGCCTCTCCGTCTCGTTCCGGACTTGCACTGGGTTCAACAATTCAGGACTGACCTCACACACTAAGCTCATTGTGTCAGACTCGATCACAGACCAAGATCAATACGCCAGTCGTCTCAACTGTACTTGACAGTACTCCGCACTGAACCGTCGTAATGCTCCGTACAGAACCACACCGTTGAACTGTGCTGTAGTGAACCTTCTGTCGTGAACCCCTTTTCTGAACCTCGCTGTATTGAGCCCCTTTTCTCAACCGTCTCGACACCTCCTTATATAGGGTCCCTAATGGCCTTCTAGAACCGGGCAGAACGTCGCTGGACCATTCTGGGTGGTCAGATGACTACAATTCTTGTGACGCTCCTGAGCTCTGTTCACAACGAACCCGAACCGTCGTGTTGACACTCGTCTTGGCTGACCATCGTAACTCGTCACGGTTGACCGCTAGTCTGGCGCTGGCCTGGGGCGATTTGAGTCGGCTGACTACACTCACACCACTACCCCCCTCTGTGCCACCACCAGGTTTATAACAATACAAATAATAATAGAAGGTGAAAACGTGTGAAAACTAAAAACAACAAAACTTGAGACCTCCCCTGGGATAGGATACTGAGCATCCTATATATAGGTGTTAGCATTAGGGCTGCGCTATACAAAAGTAATTCAATATCACACATCCATTGAGGATCTGCCAACCGTCTCTCTCCATTCCTCTGTCTTTTGCCCTTGATAGAATTTCACTCAATGCCCTTTCTTTGATGTTGTTTTCCATCGCTTCCTGTCTTCCTTTTCTTTTTCCTGGTACTGTTCCCTGAAGGAAAGTCTTTGCAAGCCCTGAAGACCTTGTGATGTGGCCATAGAGTTTGAGTATACATTTTTTGACAGTGGTCAGTAGATGGGGTCTAATGGCTGTTTTAATCTTGTTTCTAATCTTTTCATTAATGATGTGGTCTTAGTAAGTGATGCCTAAGATCCTTCTGTAGCATCTTAGTTCCATTGCTAGGATCCTCTTCTCAAGATCTGCAGTCAGCATCCAAGATTCGCATGGATATAAGAATGTGGCCATGACCAGGGAGCGCATTATTCTGATTTTAGTTTCAATGGCTATGCCTTTGGTCTGTCCAGATTGTTTTGAGTTTTGCAAGTGCTGCATTAGACATTTTTTTTTTTTTTTGTATAATACTGTAAATCTCATTGCAGTTTTTTTTTTTATTGTGTTATAATTCTTTTTATGGTGATGAGTAATAGAATTAAATTTGGAAAAGCATTTTATTTTTACTAATGTTACGTTCATGTATAATATTAACTGCATCATTTACCTATCTGTTAGGTTCTCTGTAACTCACGTTTTGTCTCGAGAGACTGACAAAGCATGGAAAGGTTTACAGGGTAGAGTTTGTGAAGCTCATGTAAAATCCTGTGTGGCAGAGATGATTAAGACGCCCAGACCTTTTTTCTGTATCTGTGGTCCCTGGGCATACAATGACTCAGTGGAAAGGTAAGGAACCTAACTGCAATGTTTTGTTGAGATGTTTTTTTTTCACTTGTTATTGCCACATTCAAAATAACAGCCCAATTATCCTAGTGACTTAATAGTAGAACATTGGCCTGTTGAGATATCATTTCTGGTATTTGGAATCAATGTGTTGGGATTAGTATTTCTACTTCAATTTAAGAGAAGAGAGCATTCTTTGAGTTTAAAGAAAAGAGTCAATGTGTTGGTCACTGAATACCAGAATTTTAATAAACTAGTCGACCGGCGGCGTAGCATACACCGCTATTTTGCAGGGCCAACCTTAGGCCACTGCAACCTATGCGACCGCAGTGGGCCCCGCATTTTAATAGGACCCGCACTAATTCTAGGTGTATACATTATTCAATTAAATCATTTTATAACTTATAACAGATTTCCCGCTGCCTCCTGTCGATTTAACAGGAAGTCCTGGAAATCTCCTGAAATTGCAATATATACGAAAAAGTCATGGAAATCTGCGGAAAATATTAAAATCTTTTGAAAACTCATACAAATCTCCTGAAATATATAGACAAAAATTGTCAGTTTGGGGTGTCATTCAATATTCATTCAATATGGAAAACGCCAATCCTACGCGTGTTAAAAAAAACGGCATTATGCAATACCCGCAATTGTGGAATCTAGTGAAAGAAGCTTCTCACGCCTCAAACTAATGAAGAATTACTTGAGATCAACAATTCTCGTAGAAAGATTGAAACATTTGGTAATTCTTGCTATTGATCGTGATCTATGTAGGAAACAGAATTATTATGATATACTGTATGACTTCCCTACACGCAAGGCTCGTAAAATAATTCTGTACATAGTAAGGAATGAATAAAATGCAAAGACGAATTTATTTTCTAATACTAACTCTTAACTTTCACTTATTATCCGTATCCCTACCCAAACTTGGCTCCGCGAAATTTGTTTCGCATAGGGCTCTACAATGGTTAAGTTCGGTTCTGCTATTTAGTGAGGGATGAATACTACTTCTCCCCCCCCCCCCTTTTTTTTTTCGCCTCTTAAATTACCCAGATAACTACCTCCATCTGAGTTGCAAAATTTAAAGAATGATCTTTCCATGGTGTCCAAACTCTTGAGCGTGCTCTGTCGCCACGATAGTTACTACAGAGTAGATTACTCCCCCCCCCCCCCTTTTTTTTAACGTGAGATAGAAATAAAAAAAAAAGTGATATTTCTTCTTTAAAACGGTCTGGCCCTGCTATTTTGTGTGTCCCCCCCCCCCCCTTGTTTTCTCGTGGACTATCTGCAGAAATAAGAGAGTGATCTTTCCTTTACTTCTCGTTTAAAATGTTGAGGGAAGAAGAGAATTATATATATAGATGTAAATAATTTCTTTTTTTTTTTAATTAGTCTTCTAAAAATAAAAAAATTCTCTTTCAAACTATTAAACATGTATTTATTCTTTTTTTCAGCTTAGCAAAGCTAAGTGGACTTTCTAATGAACAAATTTATATATTTACACAAAACTACTAGCCTGCATCATTGACTGTGTTACCCCATCATGCACCATGCAGCAGCAGACAAGCAGTATGAACAAGACAGTCACATTAACATATCAAACTGGGCTACTCTCTCTGTATTCTATGTTCTAAGTGTTTAGGCTAGCCATCCAAATGTTTGTGCATTATAATTTCTCTGAATATGTTGTGAAGAGATGCATGGCACATTGAAAAGTTATATATGAATTGCTGTGTTCACTAGAAAGTCTTGATAACATTTACTCAGACCAGTTTTGCCAAAGCTGAATATGACATGACATAAATATGGAGTTTTAATTTTTAGTGTTGAACATGAACAGAAATCAATCCACTGGCTTTCATGCTCAAGGAGTGATTGTATTAAGCATGCTGTGATAGTCGAAAAATATTCATTCAACATTTAAAATAAAGCTAAATATGAGAAATTAGTTAAAGGAATCAGAATTAGCTCATCTAAACAGTAGTTTCTGAGACAACTCAAGATGAAAAAAGTTTTGGGTTACAGTTCTTTATCATTGACTTTGTAAAAAAAAAGTAATTTCTAATTTCTGACATTTTTTTATTTATTTTACAAACATTATAAAAGATATAATCAAATCAAAAATGTAATATGATCAATGTTACTTGATACCCGGGTAGTCATAAAAACTGTAAGCAATATTATTTTGATGTACCCATGTTCATCTCCTATTTATGTTTATTGTTTTTCAATCAAGTATATGACTGTTTGAAATGCAAATCTTTGTGTGGTATAAATATTTGTAAACTCAAGCATAATGCCAACATCTGCATATTTTGTACATTCAACGAACGCTAACTAAAAGGCCATAATATTATTCTACATTTAGTTTCAACAAAACCTACCAGAAATGAATGTTTAACAGTAATAAACAAAAAAATAATGCCTGCTCAAATCTACTAAGTATAACAAACTTTTATTAATTGTGCTATTTCAGTAAGTCCCATGGGTTTTTGAGTAATTGCTATTGATTGCTTAAAACAAACTCACAATGAAGTTAATTGTTATAATATGTTAGCAGGTTATGCTAAACCAGGTTATGACAAGACCAGAAAGCCCTGTTTGCATATGATGAAAATAGAAATCCTTCATAAAAATTATTGTTTTTTTTTGTTGGTATTTTTTTTATTGTTAGGCATTCTGTGTTTCTCTATTCTTATACATTAATATAAAGTTGATGCTCAAAATGTCCAAACTAAGCTAGACACATCTGTGTAACATCTTTAGATGAGTTTTAGTAGTTTACATATTTATTACATTGATACATTGATAAATACATTGATTTTCATTATATAAAACTTGTGACATTTTATATATATATATATATATATATATATATATATATATATATATATATATAAGCCATGCATACCCATATAAGCAGCTTCTCTTGACCTTGCTAGCCAGTTGGAACTTGCTAATCAACAAAAGCTAAGCTAAACTACTATTTCCTGGGTTACTTGGTGCATGTAGAAGGACAACACACTTCTAGCCAGTGTGAGCTAACTTGACTACATTGTACAGTGACTGACATAATCTTCACATTTCTTACATTTGTGTATTACATGTTTATGTACTTGTGTACATTAGCTGTTAGTTGGTTCAAATAAATGATATTTACATAAGCAATGAAAAGTGACAATTCTGACTTGATGTTGTAATCAAGGGAAATAACTTAAAATCCTGAAACATGTTTTGTTAGATAATCTCACTGATTTGTTATATTCATCTATTGATTTTGTCATATTTTAAAAATACAGACACATTTATATATTAAATCTTCAACGAAACAATTTATTTGGTTCTAATATTTTATTAAAGGCAAGAGTTTGTTGGTTTTTTTTTAAACTTTTTTTTTCTTTGTCCTAATTGGTTTCCATTGTATAGCTCTAGATATTTAAATGCAATGTGGCAAGACTTCTGATCAGTACCACAGCAATTCAATTTGCCACTTTACTATTGAGACAGAACGAATGGTTTCCCCACTCTGTACTCTTGTTTAAAAACATAAACCAGAAAGCACTGAACATGCCAAAGTAACATGCAGATACAACATATATTTAGCTCTTTCAGTGCAGCGTTACTCTCAATGAGTAACTTCGCTAGTGCTGGTCAGTGCAGAGTTACTCTCAGCGAGTAACTTGGTTTATAATATTTATTTCACTATCTTTTTAAGTTAAACTTTTTTATTTCTCTTTTTTTTTTTTATTTCCTGGATGTGGGAGTGATTGTTCTTTGTTTTGATAGTAAATTTGATGCAGTACCAACTTTCTTTTTTTAAAAAAAGAGAAAATTGTGTTAATCGTTCCTCTTTTTAGTTTATTTCCTGGGACCCGAAAGATGTAAATAATACAATTTCTTAGTGTATTTGTTCATCTTTTATGACATTTGAAGTGATTAAATGTGTTTAGTATTGGGATTTTTCAATATCTATGGATTAAAATGTTTAATTAAAAGGTTAAATCTTTCAGTATATTGATTTTAAGCAAATTTTTAAATATTTCTTTTTCCGTGCTCAGTTTAAAATTAATGAAAAAAAATTTTTCTAAAATAATTAATTTTATTTATTATAATTTTGTAGCCCTTTCATTTTTCTTTAAAATAAAATCAAATATGTTAGATTGTTTAATAAAATAAAAAGTTGTTAGTTTTAGTAACTCTACCCCACTTGAAAATTTGTGTTCATCCCGGAAAACTTTTTCGATATAAATAACTCGCACTGAAAGAGTTAGGAAAGATTCATTGTTTGTTCGTATTTCTAATAAGTCTATATCAACTCTGTTATTCCGTCTGGTAAAAAGTTTGCACATGCTATTTCTGGCTCACATCAAATAAATTTATTAGCATAGACAAGACACTAATCAATATAAAATTAGCCAATTAATAACTGGTAGTTAATTATTTTGTTTGATACCAACAAGGGAAATTAATACTTCAGTATTCACAGGTATGGTAAAATCTGTAGGGTTTCGTCCCCTTTGATAATTAAACACGTTATTTCTCCCACACCTATTTTTGGATAAAGTTGAAACTTGAAACAGACTTATTGTACCTAAGAAAATCGTAATCAATTTAAAAAAATGAACCAATTAGTCAATTAATTATTGTTAATTAATTATTTTGTTTGATATCTAATAATGGAAGTAAGGTCTAAATAATTGAGAGATAGTGCAGTTCTTTCCTTAAAAAAAATGTATTTTACCTATGACTTAGAAGAGTGTCTCTACCATGCACGACTAGATGAACTTAGAGATATGTTTAATACTTAACTGTCTTCTCTTCTAACGAAACGTCTCTAATTGATAAGATAAGTTTGTGCTTTTTGAACGAAATGTACTGCTATCAAATTTTACTTAAAATGTTCATTTGAGTATTTGTACACACATAATCGTGTCACAAGTTTTCTCTATTTCTCTCACCTTCACTTGAATCATTGTAGCTTACAATCGTTAAGGTTTCTATATATATTTTCGTAAGCACTTCCCTGGCTCAGTGGTTCGTGTATTGGATTGAAGAGGTTGGGAAGCTTTAGCCGAGTTCGAATTCTTGTCGTCGTTAACTTTTTTTTAATGCAATTAAAAGCGATAACCCTTAAACCCCTTTCTCTCTCCCCCTCACTCCTTTCCACCTGGTCCAGACAATTGATAGGGTCATAGCGTACTGAGAAAGTGATAGGGTCATAGCGTACTGAGAAAGCTAAAAGCATGAAATTGCGCTTAACAAAAACATTCGATAAAAATATGTGTATTCGCACAGATTTATTATTGTTAGTCAAGATCTATTACAAATTTAATGGACCTCATTCACCAGTCGTAAACAAACAACACTTAGCCTCGTGGTTCTCTATCTCGTCTATACAAATTACGTAATACACACAGGCTGTCACGTGACAGATTTTTTTTCATTGTTTTATCAATATTATCACGTGGCTAAATGCTGTTTGTTTACGATTGGTGAATGAGGTCCATTACATGAGTGATCCAAAGTAATCCAAAAAACAAAATGTAATAAGATGCTCAAAAAGACACAAAGATAAAGGCACATTCCTCGTTCCATATATGCTAGGACAAATTTGTACAAATGCTCTTTCTTCCCTAGTGCTATTAGAGCATGGAATGGGTTCCTGAGCCACCCAGGAAAACCAATGACTTGGCAGAATTTAAGTCATTGGTTAACATGCATGAATAGATGCATAACGCGTAGGACGTAATCATCTTCTTTTTGTGAAGTAACGTCTGTATTTTATAAGATAAGATAATTGATACAACTACGGCTTAGTAACAGTTTTGTTGTTTTTCTAAAGTGTTTTGTATGTTTTTCTTGTTTAAACCCTGGGGCCTACTCATAAATACGATGAAAAAGCACCCCCCCCCCTTTTTTTTTATCCCTTTTTGAAACAAAAATGACTACCATCGCGCGCCCCTCCTCTTTTTGTCAGTTGCTTGGTTTTGCCCCACAGGGCTAGAAACGCTGGTCTATGTGAAAAAAAAAGTTTCTATGACTTTTCAAAGTCTGTCGTTGTTTGAATAATCAGTTTAAATGAAAGCTAATCTAACTTAATCTGTTTTTTGTTTTTTTCATACATTATTTTTATTTATTTAAATGATATTCAAGTATGTTGAATTTATATTTTTAAAAATCCTACTAGACTTTTGAATGGTGCTGTCATTTACCATGGGGGGTAGGTCAAGTTGTTTTGTTGTTCTGTATAAGTTAAGTTATGCAGAAACAGAGGGTATGGACTGGCTGTACTTTTTTTTCCAACGAACGTCTGAATCTTGTCAAACAAGTCTTGATGTCGTGTAGGTTTGTATGCTTCTAATCATACATTTAGATCTTTGATAGATCGTTTAGTTGTCAGAAGCAGTAGGACTGTGTTACATTTAGATTAGATTAGATGGCAAAGGAAAGCTGAAGCTTCACTACTAAGTAAATACGACAATTAGATGGCATAGGACATTGTTTTCCGATTGGGGGAGGGGGGAGAATACATCTGCTGCCATTCCCACCTAAACCCTTTAAAGTGGGGGGGGGGGGCGTTCCTACTTTTATGGGAAAATCATAGTTCGTGAACAAAATTAGTTGAATATCTATTTAATATAAGCTAAGTATTGATATGTGAACCCATTTGTATATTATGTCGCACACACACTTTAATCTCAAATTTTATCATTAGTAAATATAAAATGAAAAAGGGTTGTTTCAGGTGGGAAGGGCGATACATGCAATCGCCTTCCGCCCATCGGACAAACCAATACTTTTTCTTTTTTAATTATAGTTAAGAAATTACAAAATTATAAGAAAAATCTGTCACTAATATACTTTATATGTGCTATAAATTAAATTCTAATATCGAGTCGCACAAACCCTATTCTTTAATGCCAAATGCAATCATTAACAGAAATTATAAAAAGGAGCGAGGATTGATCGTTTTTCATTCTACCGCCCCTCCCCTTTCCAGACGAAAGCATGATGTTTTAAAACATAAATTTATTATAATTTTTTAAAGAAAGACTTTGCTTTGGAAAATTTAGAATTCATACGAAATTTTTCAGTATAAGAGTAACGATTGAGATGAGTTCTGAACCCAAATATTCTTTTCTTAGTCGCCTTTTCCCAACCTTTACTCCATCTGCTATTTTTCTAGTTAAATAAATTTGGGACTATAGCTAATAATTTATGTTTCAATCCTAAAAATGCAAACAAATTTAGAGTAGAGTCTAATTGGTCCACTTAATTTCTCCTACCACTTCCGAATTTTTTTTGTTAGAGCTTTCAATTATAGTTCTGTAACGAAACAAAGTTACAAACATGCTTATTGAACAAAATGTATCACTTACAAATGAGCTTTTTTTTTAAAAAAATTATTATTCTAATTTTTTTTTCGTCGGCAATCTTCAAAGCCTAAATCTAAATATGTGTGTGTGGGGGGGTATCTTCAGATCGTTTTATTTGTAATGCAGTTTGGGCCTTTCGAATTCATAGTAGAATATTTTTTTCAAGTAAAACATTATTGAAAAGGTCATTTTTAATTGGATGAATAATGAGCTATAGATATCAGTAGAATGTGTTTCTGCAGTGAAGAATGCTAAAAAACGCTTCTGGCGTCGGTGCTTCGCCCAGTTCCCCACTAATAAATAATGAGCTGTAGATGTCAGGGGAATGCGTTTCAGCAGTGAAAAATGCAAGAAAACGCTTTTGGCGTCGGGGCTTTGCCCCGAACCCCCCTGATAAATAATGAGCTGTAAATGTCAGGAGAGTTTCTACAGTAAAGAATGCAAAAAAACGATTTTGGGTTCGGGGCGAACACTAAGGAGACTTACAGCGCTCTCCCAGACCCCAAGCTATCAATAGAAAGGGCTCAACATGTCTGGGTTTTTTTCTTCCGAGAAAGTTGAGAAATACTGCTTTTTTATTTCTCATGTATATTTATGCTGTACTCACGTTTATGCTTAGGGTTAGGGTTTACTGGGCGTTAGGGTTAGGGTTTAGAAAAAAATCGCCCCCCCCCCCCACACACACACTCCAAAGTTCTGGATCCTCTGGTGGCTACGCTACTGTTGGTATATGTGTATATCTCCTTGAACACCGAAATCCATCAATAAAATGGCTTGCATGACCACGCTACCCCACAGCTCACACAATTTTCTAGCCCCCTCCAATTCTTGAAGTCCTCTTTATTTTTGTCTCTAATTCTTCATCGCAAACCCATTTTATGGAGTGTGCACAAACACTTTTTAGACCCACCAGTTGTAGTATTCTTACCTACTTGCAATTTTTATGCCCCCCCCCCCTAAAACACACACACACACAATTGTTAATGGAACGCCCCTCCCCG